CGTTGCCGAGTGGCATTTTGGATGTCTGCCTTCAGCGCCGCACTGGTGGCGCCTTTGCTCTCCAGCAGGGAAACGAGGACATCTTTGTCAAGTTGGGTATAATCCGCCTTGGGCACAACATGCGCGTCAAGGCCCATTGCGGGGGCAATTGCGCCACTGCTGCTGCTGGCCCCACCAACCGCCAATGGTGTTGGAGGCATGTTTTGTCTGGTATATCTCCTGGCGGCAGGGCGCGGCGTTGGCGGCGGGCCCATCATGCTGTAGATCTCGTCCATGTCTTCTCCGCTGTATGGTGACCCAGTGAACAGAGCTAAAACGACTGGTAGATGATCCACGTCAAACGAAACACCACCCATGCGCAAGTTGCCTGCGTCGGCCCTTCCCGCAACAAGCGTGGATAAGTGATTCCGGATGCTGTCGCGCAGCCCGCGCCGCGATAGAGGCCCTCTCTCGTCGGGTGTGCGCCCGATCAATCTCAATATCAGGTCGCACACTTTGAATATTTTGATTTGCCCAGAATATATCTCAGTAGCCATGCGGTTGTCGAGGGAGAACTGGGCAATGTCATTCTTCCTCGCCACCAGGGACATAACCTGGGGGGCATGCAAAGTACGTTAATGAATCAGCATTTGTAATAAGTATCTTAATGACTTAAGAACTTAATGTATGAAACAACTGTAGATAATGTACATTTAATTAACGCACGTTGCATCCAACATAACCTAACACGACGCAATATTACAGGACCCTTGTTTATCACGCGCTATCTCCACAGTATTCGGAACGGGTCTCGCAACTCAAGATGAATGGGCCGACCCGCTTGACGCGGTGCTCCGCGCCCTCGTCTGATCAGAATACGCATTGTTCAGATGTCAAGCTGCCGAGGCGATTGTCTCTTAGATTGCCCAGGGTGGTCCGAGGGATCCGAGGTCACGAGGGAGGGCGCCCGAACATCGCGCGTGGCCTGTCTGCACCCCTGCCCTGCCCTGGACCCTGACCCGCCCGCGGCCCGTAGCGCGAGGAACCTAAGTCGAAGAACTCGGAGCCCAGAGTGAAGATGATGTGCGACGCGGCCTGCTGCAGCAGGACCCCCCATGCCCCGCGCGCCTCCGCGCTGCGAGGCAGGGGCGAGGGGGGAAGAGGAAGGGGGGGGGAGAGAGTGCAGGGGGGGAGGGGGGGAGGCCGCGGCGCGTGAGAGCACGGGCGGCGCGGGAGAACCAAACGGGCAGCGAGGAGGAAGGGATTGCAGAGCCGACTGCTTCGATTGGGCGCGAGCGAAACATTGACGAGCGCGTAGCCTCTTTGGTCGTCATCGCCCTGTGTCGCCCCCCTTCCATCCCTCCTCGCCCTCGCTCCTCCGCCTACGGCTTCTTTTCGCCCATTTTCCTCTGCCCCCCCCTCTTCCCCTCGTCCGTTGCCGCGTTGTGCTCGCGGCCCCCCCTGTCCCGAATCGCCTTCGCATGAATAGAAGTGGCGCAGGGCGCCAGTAAACCAATATAAATATATATATATATATATATATATAGATTATCATATATATATATATATACATATATATATGATAATTGTTCAGCTGCAACAGCGACAGCGGGGGCGCCGGCGCGAGGCTCTGGCCAGCAGGGTCCTGGCGGCGGCGCGTCGCCGACATCTTGGCACCAGGCTTAGATTGAATGGCCGACAAAGCGAGGTAAAGACGCGGTGCCTCTTCCCTCCCTTTCCTCTCCTCCATCCCCCCCTTCTCTTCGACCATCATCCTCGCTCCACTTTCCCGTCTCGTTGCCTGCCGATTCCCTCCTCCTCCCCTCCTCCTTGCCACATCCTTCCTTCATCCTGGGCTGCCCGCAACGTGCTGGCGCCGCCCGACGAAGGCCGCACCGAACGTGGGAAAGCAGCAGCGGCGGCAACTCCGAATACCACCCACGACACGACAATACACTTCAAGGGAATGTGGAATCTCACCAAACGCCGATGCGGTCTGAGGGGCCCTGGATGCGATCGAACACGCGAAGAGGCGCAGTAGAGCGACAGCAGGTGGAAAAGAGCGGGGAACCACATCACATCACATCTGCTAGAGTGCGTGGGAAGGGTCGCCCCACATCCCCGTGCGCGCGTGCCATTTACGCACGCGAGTGATGGATAACCAATATATGATATAAGGTTCACGCTGCAGCAACGACAGCGGGGGCGCAATGGCGCATTGGCCCCAGCGCTCACAAGGTGAGCGCGCGCAATTTTGAAATCACGCTGGGGCCATCCATGCTTTCTTTCTGTCTTATTTTTTTTTTCTCTCTCTCTCTCTCTCTCTCTCTCTCTCTCTCTCTCTCTCTCTCTCTCTCTCTCTCTCTCTCTCTCTCTCTCTCTCTCTCTTTATATATATTATCTCTCTCTTTCTCTCCCTCTCTCTATATATAGATATTTGTATATGTCTGCATCCCTCTACGTATGCACCTTCAGATGTATACCCCTCCTTCTGCTTCAATTCACCTCTGCTTCAATCCTTTATTCTGGCACTCTTCATCCTTCTTCCCACCCTTTCCCTCCCCCCACTCATTCCCATCCTTCTGCCCCTTCCTCGACCCCCCCCCCCCCTCCCCCCCCCCCCCCCCCCCCCCTCACCCGCTGCCACTTTCATCATGGCCCCTGGCAGGAAGCTGGGGCCCGAGCTCGGAGCTCAGGGCGCCTGGACAAGCAGCGCAGCGATGGACCAAAAACCGCGCCCATCCTTAAGCGAATTAGCAGACTCGGGCCGACTCGCAGTTCCACAGGGCAGGATTGCTTGGACATCCACAACACCCCGCGCGTCCTGCGCAACGGCCCGTACCTTGCTGACCTGCCCACATCATCTGCCTCGTGTAAATACCAGAGTATGGGTTCCAGCACGATTATCCTCCCCCCCCCTCCTCGCCTGCCCCCCCCGCAGATTTTCCCGCCGCCCTGCCAATGCACATGCTATGCTGCGCGATCCTCTCCATTGAACCTCTTTGACCTCTGCCCCTCCCCAGTGGGCCCCAGGACCCTGCGGCCCCTCGCCAATCCGCCCCTTGGAACCAGCACGCAGCCGCAGCTGCGATTCTGTGATAGGCACGGTAATGCACATTGCGATGCTGGGTGCTGAAGGTTGAGACCTCCTCCTCCTCTTCCTCCTCATCATCATCATCATCATCATCTGCATCAACATCATCATCATCATCATCCTCTTCCTCCTCCTCCTTCTCCTCCTCCTCCTGGCCCTCCTCTTCCTCCCCCTCCTCCTTCTTCTGGTCCTCCTCCTTCTCCTCCTCCTCCTCCTTCCTCCTCCCCCCCCCCTCCTTTCCTCATTATGTCGGCCTCTCGCTCTATCTGACAATCCTGCGCGCGCTCTGCTCACTGCCCCCGGAACCCTGAGCGCACGAGCGGCGATCGGATCGGCGCAGCCTCTTAGGCTTGCTCGACAAACGCTACTCCCATCAGCTCGGAATGGGATGAACCTGCAATTGGCGTTGGCACCCAAGTGCCGCGAAGGGTCGACGCAGCATCGAAAATGAAGGTCTTCGACCCTCGGAGGCAATAGGCGCGACCGTCTACCTGGAACCAAGCAGCTACTTTCTTTGACATGCGGCGCGCGCCCTGCGTGAACGTGAGGATCGTCAAGCTCTGGTCGGCCTTGTCCCTCCCCTCGTTCGCCCACTCCCCACTCTTGCCCCCCGAGCTATCGAATTAGACTGGAGCTCGACTGACCTGCGCCCCGAACCCCTGAGACTCCTTAACCGCCAAAATGCAGTGGACCTAACATGGGCCTCGTAGTGCCTGCGGATCTCACAGCATCACTTCCATATCACATCTGCCGATATGCCGTCTGTGCATCATTCTCGTTTGGATATTCCTGGGCTGCGCTACTTAAGCGTGTTCTCCCGACCCACACTGTCTCTGCATATGCCCATCCGTCTACATCATAATCGTTCCCTCTCTCTCTCTCTTGTTATATTGTTCTCTCTCTCTCTCTCTCTCTCTCTCTCTCTCTCTCTCTCTCTCTCTCTCTCTCTCTCTCTCCCTCTCCCTCTCCCTCTCCCTCTCTCCTCTCTCTCTCTCTCTCTCACTCTCTCCCTCCGCTCCGCGTTTTTATGTTATGTGGTGCTCTTCTCTCTCTCTCTCTCTCTCTCCTCTCCCTCCTCTCCTCTCTCTTCTCTCTCTTCCTCTCTCTCTCCTCTCTCTCTCTCCCTCTGCGTGGCTCTCTTTCTCTCTCTCTCTCTCCTCTCTCTCCTCTCTCTCTTCTCTCTCTCTCTCTCTCTCTCTCTCTCTCTCTCTCTCTCTCTCTCTCTCTCTCTCTCTCTCTCTCTCTCTCTCTCTCATCCTTTCCCTCTTGCGTCGCTTACCATATCTCCTCTTCCACTCCTCTCTCCAACATGTCGCATATCATCGTCACATTTCACCTCCGCGCCCCCATCCTCGCATATCCATCTCCTCCCCTCCTGTCGGCTCCTGCCCTGCCCAGTCCGTCGCCCCCCGCCGCTCCCTATGGAGGACGCAGTGCTCGCAGTGCTCGCAGCTGCCGACGGTGCACTCCTCAGCGCGCAGGCGCCCGGGCCAATGGTGGGCGGGGCGGGGCAGCAGCATCCCAGCCAAGGAAGGAAGGTCGCGACATGTGTGACGGGTGCTCGCATGCTCGCAGCAAGCACGAGTGAATGAGACGAGGATGGACCAGGGCCAGCGCCCTTCCTTTCTCATCCCTCCTCCTCATCATCCTCCATCCCTCCTGCCCCATCGCTCCTGCCTCCCAAACTTCTCCTTCTCGTCTCTCCTTTGTTCTCGCCCCATCACTTCGCCCATCTTCCCGCCTTCCCCTCCATTCCTCTGCCCTCCAACCTTCGTCCTTCCTCCCCCCCCCCCCCCTCCCACTCCCTCCCACTCCCTCATCATCCCTCCCTTCGTCCCTTCGGAGCCTCCGAACGGCCGAACCAAAAGCGAGAAAAGGCTAGCGGGCTGGGGCGGCTTCGGTCCTCGCACTCCCCCTCGCAGCACGCAGTCATGCCCAGCGCGGCCGCGATGGGCGGCGGCGGCGGGTGCTGGCCGAACTCCGTCGGCCAAGGCTTGGCCGAGTGGTAGTCGAAGCCGACGTAGCAGTTGCGGCGCACCCTTGTAGGGGCGAGCGCTCGCGCTGCTCTCACCCACACTACCTCCCCGTATCAATGCGACAGTGCTACTGCGAATCTGTCTGCAGTCGTCTTTAGCAAGTAAATGGCCCTATGGCCTTCTGGCCCCATGGCTACTGAGACGGCTGTTCTAATGCTTAGTTGACCTGCCCTACCCCCGACAAAGTTTTTTCGCCCCAGCCCCTCGCACCTCCGCTCCTCGTCGGCGTGGCCGGGGCGGCCTGCGACGCGGACCTTGGCGGGCCCCTCGGGCAGGATCGGGGCGACAGTGACGTCGTGAGGGGGCGCACTCAGGGCGAACCTAGGGATGTCCTGATGCTATTGCTGCATTACCATCCCTTTCAGCCTGGGCCATCCACGGAGAGGAAGTTTAACGGCAACAGGCGAACGGAAGGGAGGATGGGGGAGGGGGCGAGGTGGATGAAGGAGGGGGTAGAGGGCAGAAGAAAGGGAGGAGGAGCAGCAAGAGGGAACAGGGTGGTAAAAGGAAAATTGACCAGGGGAGGCGCATGAGGAACGGTGGCAACGTCGGACCGTCGGGAGGCAGTGCTGACGTCTTGCCAGGAGCCACTTGGGCTCTGTCTGCGCGAAACGGAAGGACGCGAGGGGCCAGAGCGAGGAGAGAGGGAGAGAGGGAGAGGGAGAGGGAGAGAGAGTGAGAGAGAGGGAGGGTGAAAAAAGAGAGAGAGAGAGAGAGAGAAAGAAGATAGAGAGAGGAGAGGAGAGAGAGCGAGGAGAGAGGGAGAGAGGGAGAGGGAGAGGGAGAGAGAGTGAGAGAGAGGGAGGGTGAAAGAGAGAGAGAGGGAGGGAGAGGGAGAGGGAACTGGAGAGAACGAGGGAGCGAGAGACAGAGAGAGCGAGAGAGAGGGAGACAGAGCGAGAGAAAGAAAGAGAGAGAACGAGAGAGAAGGCGGAAGGGGGAGGGGTGGAGGGGGGAGTGGGTGGGAGAGGGAGGCAAAGTAGCAGAGTGGCTCCTCCTCATCCTTCCTTCTCCCCCTTACCTCATGCCTCCTTCTCCGTGTCCCCCCTAATGTCTCCCTTGCTCGGCCGCTCCATGTCCCTCTCCTTGTTCCCAGTGTAATTGTATGTGTACTGTGTTTGTACTTCTCTTTATTAGTATACGCATATATATATATATATATAATTTGCCAGTTTGTTTTATCTCTCTATACATATACGCATGTGCGTATATATCGATATACAGATATATGAACTCAGCCAACCACTTGTCTGCATGTGCATCGGTAGGTGTAAGCACGGCTGGTGTACGTATAGTTGATCGTGTCTCTTAGTTCCATGTGCCTGTATGCATATATTTATGTACGCATACATCAGAGTGCGCCCCACGATGTGTACGCATGTGTAAATATTTACAGATACGCAAGTATTTACGTTTGTGTGGATGTATATACCTGTGCATATGGATGTTTGTGCGTCATACAATTGCATGGTGTCCCTTTAATCATTGAGTCCTTCGCATTCGCAATCCACGGCATTGTGACGCAGCGGTCGAAGGCGCCGGCGACTGGGGACTCCAGCAGGAGCTTCAGCACGTGGTTCGCGAACGGGGCCTTCTCCTGGAGAGGCGGGGGGGGAGAAGGCGGGCGCATGCATGCGTGCATGCGGTTGCCGCGACTGGCCTGCCCAAGGGAGATGCGACTGACTTATAAAGAGGGAGGCAAGTGCGAAGAGAAGGACTGCACGCACAAAGTAGGGGTGAGGGGTGAGGGAGGTAGGGGAGGGAGGGGAAGTTGAAAGCGAGCAGAAATAGGGTACCAAGACGTGTCGGCGCACCCGACCTGGAACCCAAGTCTCCTTGGACTGTTGGTAGTGGGTGCCGAACCGGGTCATGCCGATGCCGACGAGGGTGCCTGGCTCAACGATGGGCGGCAGTGGATGGGAGGGGGGCGTAAGCAGGTCGAGGTAAATGGCGGAGGTAGGCAGCGAAAGCGGGCGAGCGGCGAGGGGCCGACGAGCGGGGGTAGCGGAAAGGGGGTGGTGACGAGATGTAAGGAGAGGGGCGCAGTGGAGAGAGGCAGATGACAGGGTTCAGGCACCTCTTCCCCCCTCATTGACGTTTCGGCGCGGCGTCCCACGCGAATTCGGCCTCCGTGCTCCCAGCGGCACAACGCGCCCATGGGGCGATCGGTCTCGCGCTGGGTGGACTCCATGAGGGACATCACCTTCTTCCTGGCATGACTCATTAGACGGGGAGTCTGAGGAGAGCCCCGATTGGGGATGGTGGGGGGGAGGGGGGAGGGCGAGGGGGAACATCGGGAAGAGGAGAGAGAACGAGACATCAGGAGAGGCTCAGGAGAGGGAATGAAGGCCTTTGCCAGGGACCCCCGAAGGAGAGGGCGATAGAGAGGCAGAGAGCCAGCGGATCCAGGTTTCTCTCGCGAAGACGACGGCGCGACGGGCAGGGCCAGCGGAGCGGAGCTCTAAGGAGAGGAGAGGAAAGCAAAGGATGGATGGCGGAAAGGGGCCTCATCATTACTTACTTACCGTCATCCTCAGCCTCATCCTTATCCGCATCGTTTACTCGGCGCGGTTTGCCCCTGGGCCTGCCAAGCGAAACGAAGATCTTTAAAGTTTGTCCGTTACCTATGTCCGCTGATCGGCACCCTTCAGTTGGCTGGAGCGGGGTCCGCATCGGCAGTCCGCATCATCATCATCATCATCATCATCATCATCATCATCCCTACATCATCTTCTCTCGGTCATCTAGCCTCCCTCCCCCCGCCCCTCCCTGGCTCCTCAGGCCACCCGGGCCAGTGAGCGCCTTGGTCACCTCGGGGCTGGACCAGCCAGCCCAGTGGCTGTGCGTGTGGTAGTCCTGAAGCGGGGCGTCTTTCTGGGGCAGTTGAATTCTGGGAGCCTCGAGGGGCTCGAGAGAGGCGGGGCGGTAGGGGGCCCGAGGGGGCGAGTCAGACGAGAGGTTGAAGATGAGATGCGCGAGATGCGGGCCCGAGCGAAAAGGCGATCATTTCAATTGGGAGCGACTGCTAGCGCGAGCCCAGCGAGCCCCTGAGAAAGCCCTCCCCAAACTCTCGGCCTGATATCAGGGCGCCTCTCAGACTCATCGACGATCGAGTCCAAATC